CGGCACCTGCCCCAGCCCGGCAGAACACCACGTCCTGGCGCCTGGAGACAGCCTGGCGGAATGGGGCACTATGGCCTGGGGTTAGCCTCAGAGGTCAGTACTACGCCCACAAATAACAGAGAGAGACAACAAAGCTTCCTCACAGTTCCGTGTGCCGAGAGAGAGTAATGGCACTACACCAGCTTTTAGCGTCCGAACACAGAGGGTCCAGCGCATGGCTGCCTCACTAGAGACACCGGTGTGCCCTTTTGGAACTGTGACACATAAGACAGGCCTAATAGACAAAGACAGACAGACAAAACGTTAGCCGCTCCACAAAATTGAATTCTGTAGCTCCCCTTACCCCAATGGCCGGCCGTCACTCCAAATCCAAAGCCCTCACCAGGAGATTTCGTAACAGGTATCCCCTTACCTTCTATTGAGCACTCTGAGAGGTTTGGAAGTGGAGTGCTGGTCCGTCCATATGGGCAAGCGGCGTGTTAGGAATCTCGGTGGAACCTCCAAATTGTCGAAGCAAAGGCTTCACTCAGTTTTAGGCGGCTAAACAGACAGCTTTATTGATCAGTAAAGCCAAGTGAGCCAAACGTGGTCCCAGCAGAGCCGGGCCCAGTAAGTCTGGCTAATACAATCAATCCTAGTATCTTTATACCCCTAACCAAACAGTCTGATGTCAGGGCATCCAATTACAGAAATCATCAATTAAACTAGGAAATCTCCTGTCCCAACCAGCCCAATTAACACATACCAATAGCCCATTCTGTAGGCCTCTTCTCACGGGGTGATAGTTTACTCTGGTCTATGCGCTTGAGAGAGAAGCTAAAATGGTTTCTGTTTTACAAGATGGCTTCTAGCTAAATATGAAAATGGTTTCTACAGCTTCTACACTGTCTTGTCACAAACCAGTTCTACAAGCCAGATCCACAGGGAAGCGTTGGAATTAGCATGTGAATTGAATTTGCGGATGAACTCTAATGGACTCAATTGTGATGAAAGTTGGTTGGTAATGTCCCAACCAACAGCCATTGAAGGTGCAAACAGCTTTGTGTAGACTCCCATGTCAGGAAGGATACTATCTATTGACTTTGGGTAGCTAAAACGAAGCAGATAAGAATCAGTCTTCAGATACTTACTGATTCCCTCTAGCTCTCTTGTCTCCAACCCCCCTTCCTTCCCACCCCCATTTATTTTGGGTCTGCACATCCTAAACTCATAATTCCGGTCATCTGAAGAAGTGGGCTGTGCCCATGAAAGCTTGTACCATCTATGTGTTTTGTTAGTCTATAAAGTGCTACCAGACCATTTTTTTTCTGTAACAGACTAACTCAGCTACCCCCTGAAGCTTCCTTTAAGAATAGTCTCTCAAGATGAGTGCTTTGCTACAATTAGAATAAAACTAAGAATGAGAAGCCAAAACTAGAACTACCAGAAGATGCATGGAACGTTAAGCTTATTCTGAAGCTAATAGTGAGACGGTTATTAAAATCTTCTTATAAACACCAAGACTACTTGATAGAAAATTGAATCTACAGTCCTCCTTTCACCACAAGTGAAAATAGTGACAGGAAAAATCCACTGTACAGGTTTCTTTCTTGAACAGCTCAATAACTAGTTCATTGTTTTTGTTTGAAGCAGGAAGTGATTAGTATTGAAATTCCAGTGTGATCTCTAAAGGGTGAACTTTAGAAATACTGCATCAATACCAAAAGTAGCAACTGCCCAGGTATATCCTAAATTTGTACCGGTTTTTAGCTTGAAAAGCAGGATTACTAAAACACCAATTCTGCCTTGGCCTCTTAATATTTGTCTATTTATAGGCAGCAGCAAGTGACTAAGTCTCCTGCACCAGGCCACAGAGGGAATGTATCTTCTCCAGCTCCTGCTGCCTCCATCACTAGCATGGTCAGTACTTGCATCAGTGTTAACATAGCATTTTCTTAATAGGAAGAGAGCTTTAACTTTAAAGCAGCATACTAATTACCATTCTTGAAATACCTTGTTGTAAACAACTTAAGGTACGATTAATGCAGCTTGAATAACTACTTAGGACAAAATATTAACCTGTCACATCAAATGGCCGTATAAAATATGGTAATTTTAAAAGACAGTGGAGCATGTTCTCGGTGGAGGCCATGTTCAAAGGATCCCACCTGTGGGCTGCGTGTTGAGCCCTGCGTAAACCCAAACTGCCCCGTGTGGCTCAACACGCAGCCCACTACAGTATAGTAAAGTCCTCTTGATATAAGGACAGTCATTTCCTAGCTGGTCTACAAGGCACTTGTGGTGGCCCATGGCAAGAACTCTGGCCACCGCATTGTTGCTCTTTAAAGTTATTGCATCAAACTTAAATACACCTTCCGAATGACTAGATCCACGTAAGCAAGTGTTTATAGCTGCAACAAAGATGTCGAGTCCCTTTTGGAAGGGAAGCATGTTTCCATGCAAATCTAAGGGCCTGTGTACTTCAGGAGTTCTTCTGTAGTCACTGAAGGTGGATTAGAGCTAAGCTTGGAATAAGACTCCTGTTACCACATGGAGTTAATCAGGAATAGCTACTGTGCTTTAACTTCATAATCTGAATTGCCTCAAGTGCTGACAAATCCTTAAGTGAACGTAGAGCCTTGGTTCTAATAATCTCTGGGCTGTTTTTACAAAGTAAACCCATGTACTTCTGCAAACCTTGGGTAAAATGAGATTTACGAGAAAAAGTAAAAGCAGGAAATAAGCCAGGAATAGTGGAGATGGCCAAACAGAATTGGAGTTGAGTTCCCTTCATGTCTAATGTAGTTGAAACACTTATTTGAAAGGTATATGCTATGACTACTAGTGATCATCTGCTACTGGGATACAGTATGGCCTTGTGCAGGGTTGCAAGAAGAGCCTGATTCTGTATTTGCAAACTTGACAGATATAATGCTTAATACCTTATGCTAGCTGTTCTTGGTATTCTTGGCTCACTATCAGTTATTTTCACAGCTCTCGCCTTCCTTTACTCCCACCTCAGTGATTCGCAAGATGTATGAAAGCAAAGAAAAAAATGAGGAGCCAGTGTATGGGAAAGTGAAATCCAGTGACAGTAAAGATGAAGGTCAAAGGACAAATGAAGGTACTGTAATGGCTTCTTTCTTGAAGAAAAAATCACCAATCCACAACTTGGATTCTAGCTTTGTGGATTCCTACTCCTTAGCACTGTTAGAAGGCCAGATGTGAATTTAAGACATTCCTAACCTCCATGACAGTGTTATGAAAGGTGTACTTCAAAAATTTCCTATAATTCTTAATAAAGTAGTTTGCTTCTTCCAGAGCAAAATTCCACTGCTATTGAGTTCTGAATTCACTTTTCCTTAAGATCAGGTGGTCTTGGATATGGTGTTATAATGGTGTCAGTGACAGAACAGCTACTTTCAAGTTCACCTGAAAATCTAAATGCTGCAGATGGCAGAGACTTGCAAACAGGGTTCTTTAGCCTCTATTAACACTACCATTAGAACAGGGTAGTTCTGTTCAATAGGAATAATGTGTATTTTACCATGTTAGACACTTACCTTTTTTGAGTTGAATTCTTGGGGCTCAGGTGCAGTCTAGAACTCAAGACCTCTCTTAAATGACTGCTCTTCCAGTTGAGGTCTGTCCCCCCCAGCAAGGTGACAGCCTACTGAATGAGATGGCCAGAACAGAAGTTACATGTTCAAAATAGCAATTTAACACAATTAAAACAGCATGCCAGAAGGAATTGCAAAATATACTGTGAAGATTCTGTGACTGTATTTGACTAGTCATTAAAGAAATGATTTTTCCTCTGATAGTCACTTGAACTGACTAAATATAGCATCACAAAAGATGGTACTCACTTTCACAGTGATACAGTAGTAGATTTTTTTTTTTTTGACACCTCAGCTACACCTTGTAATGTGTGGTTGCAGAACCAGCTACAAATGCAGTGGACGATTGAGGGGTGAAGGGGGTTGTAATGGTATTGAGACAAATAGAATAACTAATGTGACAGGGTCAGGCTAGAGAGCTACAGGACAATGATAGAAGGAAAATATATTAGCCCTAGATTAAATAGTTTACCCTGGGAACAGGGATCTCA